TGATGAACCCACTTTTCTTCAAGGCACACACAGATGCTCTAACTATATCTTCACTCTCAGCATCAATGCTCCTGAAATTTGAACAGGTCCAATTGTAAATCAAAATGCATAAAAAATGATTCTCAAACAGCAATTCAATGCTTATACATTCCAAGCACTGCAACATGAACAAACCTTAATGTAATTGTGAACCGATTTCCTAAAAGCTGCCCAAGAACAAGTCCTTCGTTAACATAACTGACAATAGAACAGTGTTACCAAATAATCTTTCATACTGGACAAACACAACATGAATGTAGATACAAATGACATCGTCATGTCCTTACCAGAAGTTCCCAACTTTGATGCCAATTAGTTTTTTATTAAGTGCTGCTAATTTACTCGCCCGCTGCTTAAAAACAGTAACCTAAATGCCAAGAGAATTAAAATAAAGATGAAGTATAAGTGGTAGAATCCTCATTAAAAACAAACATATATGTGTGTGTATATATATATGAAAAAAATGAGATTATAATTCCTCATCTGATCAGTAATAATACTATGGTAGTTCCAAGTTCCAACAGCTATCCTTCTCAAGAGAAATATCACAAAAGGTTACCTCAAATTGTAATATCCAATAGTACAAGTTTCAACTCACCAGTGGAGGTAGACCACTTCATAATTCTCCACCTTTTTTCTTATTAATTTATATTTTGTTAGCTGAAGAAAATTTAACTGTACTGAACAAAAGTCCAGCTGTAAATTTCAATTTTAATTTTAGCTACAAATCAGGCTGACCAATTGACAGAACGGACATGCAGCTTTGGCCAAAAACGTGGAGTAAAAGCCACTCCAACCAATAGACAATAGCTATTAAAGCATTCATGTATAGTGATTCATTCTTTGTTTAGATCAACTAAAGGTATCCTGAAGGTCACAATTCAGAAATTTGTCTAAAATAATCTTCATATTGATGTGTGCAGAAGTGAGCGAATGAGTGCGAGTGCCAGCGAGAGAAAGGGTGGGAGAAGGGAGGAGAGGACATCAGGACAGATAAGAATCTATTAAAAAAGGAATACAATTACCCATTGAGTGGATACAGAGCGTTTATCTTTAGTGCCGGCAAAACCAAAAGACCTGGGCTGCCAAATGAAAATTTTAAGCAAGCAAACGTGAATCATAGGAAACAAAAAGCTTACAAGCATTATTTAAAAATAGAACGTCTAACAACTGTCTCAGAATCATAAGGAGCATCATCAACATCAACATCAACATACCCAGTATATTCCCAACAGGTTGGGGTCTGGGGGGTCAGTTGTACGCAGACCTTACCCTTGTAATTATACAAGGAGGCTGTTTCCATAGCGACCCAAGGTACGTTGCGTCGTTTGATATATTTTTTTCTAGAAACTTCACTAATAGAAGAAGCACTAGAATTTAATGGAGCCATTTTGATATAGTCCATTATTAGCACTATGCCAGGAGAATTGTCAACAATGACTCTTCCAACTCCATATGCAATGGACATCAGAATCATAAGGAGCAAAAGATAAAAATATGGTAATGAGATTTCACTATAATTTAGTAGTTAATAGTACCAAAAGTAGTTATACTAAGTCAACTATTGCACGAAATAATTGAATACCTGAATGCCAAGCATCTTTCCCAGGAGCCTTAGAGCATCCTGTGTATCCTTATTTTCCTTGTAAAGACAAAACCTATCCATACAAGGACAAATCAATCAGTTTCACATTACTATGGGCAGTGTGCACGGGATTGACCAAACAATGAACTGTTACGAGCTACAACAAAAAGGTGTCCACGTAGAACCAATTACGACTAAACTTTAAGAGGTGCAAACTCAACGCAACAATATGTGTGCACATGGATCTCAAGTTTAATCCACATGCAACAAGAAATGATAAATAGCGGAGAAAGCCTAGAACTTAATAAAGTATTATTTTCAGTATAATTGACACATATGAGGTACTTGAGTAGGCATAAAAAAAATAAAGCTAAACGAGTAAAATTCGAGCATAAATCATAGAATGAGAGTTTACTTTCACCCTTTTGATGTGATTATTATGAGTCAAACAAGACAAACTGAACAAGTATGATAATTTAAAAGGAAGCAAAAGGAATCAACCAGCAACCGAATATTGAGCAAAACGAGCAGGAAGTCCAAGCATTAACTAACATTTTATAGTTGCACCTGCAAACTATTAGATTCTAAATATTTTGAGGAGCATCTATTAACCACTTACTTTTTTCCTCTCCAGCTACCACTGGTCGAAAAATGTTTCAACTCTTAAAACCCAAATCATGATGGGTTGTACCCACCAGCCCCAAGAATTCAACAGACAAATTAATAACGTAAACCAAAAGTCAAAACTTCTAAAGTGCCTCATTCCCATACCACGTGACGTAACTTTATTCATAGCACTTGGTTTCTTTGTGATAGATATCCCCATCTTTGTTTGAGATATTGTCTCACAGAGACAGGCTTAGGCATTTTTGGTAAAAAAAAAAGGAAATAAAAGCACATTAGGTGCGTAAAATATAATATAAAAAAAATGAAGGGGACATGTATCATCACCTGAGGAACTTGCCCATGTCTGCCGGCCAACTGTCTGAGCCTCTACTATCATATGGTTTATGACCTCGCTCTTTTCTTTTCCTTGAATTCTTTCCCCGGTCATTATTACTTGCTGAATTCAACCGCACACGAATACACTTTGATAGGGTATCCGGCCCATCAACAGTGTCAGTAACTAGGAATTTCAGTCTCTCCTTGAAGAAGTTATGAATAGCCTGAAAACCAGTTGTGTAGCCATGAACGGCAAGCAATAATAGGAGAACCTAATGTACACCAAAATTCAACATAATTCGTTTGGAATACCGTGCGATGGGACTTATCAGAGCTAGGAGAAAGAACAACAGATTCATCATTGCTTTTAGCTACTTCACCGATTTGGTCTACAAAATATTTCAACTTTTCCGTATCAGAATCACCAGCAAGAGATCTAAAAGACTCCATCTCGGTGGAATAATCTTTATCCATCACATCTGCTATCTTTTCTTTTTTCTGCTCAGCAATCTACCAGACCAGACTATGTGTCAATATATTACAGCAACCACAATATTAGCTAAATAGAAAAAAACTGACCATGCAATAACAAATAACAGATTACTTACCTCTAAAGGAGCCTCCAGTGAGGTTAAGTGAACTACATTTCCATCCAAATCTACTTCGTTTACAATAAAATCCGAATACCTGATGATAAAGGCTTGCGTCAAAGTTTTGTACTCATTCCTCGTGACACATCTTTTCTAACACAGCAACTTTACTTAAAGATTTAAAGTCTAGCATAATTATACACGAGGCTCTTTTTTTAATATTTGGGGCTCTGTAGGTACCCCAAATTCAAGGACAAACCAATCAGACTGCATCACATAATCCAGAAATTGAAGCTAGAAAATCATTGGTATGCATTTGTAAATATGTACGTGCCAAGATCTGTCATAGGCCATAGGCAAAATTACTCACATTATCTAAAGCAGCTGTATGATGCCTTAGCTATCTTAACCACACAAATAGCTGGCCTCCATAATTTATTTGACAAGAACATAAAAAAAAAAAAAAAATGTATGCAACACAGAGACATCACCACCACCCTCATCTTATCAAACTTCTTCAAGCTTAGCTCTAACAGATTAGAATCTCGGCAAAAATATTGTGACACTAGTGTGCAACATATTATATATATATATATATATATTACAAATAACATGTTTTCTTTTCTGATCCAAAAGGGAGTGTAAGAATAGAGGAAGCATCAATAGACTGTCTTTGGTTGCATAGTTAGACAATATTGCAATTTGCATGTACAGGATCCTCCTCCTCCAAATGCTTATATTTGTCCCACATTAAACAGGTGGTTATTTCTTGAATAACTCAGAAAATTTACTCTTGCCGAATATGACTCAGTTTTGAATCAGTTTTCCGAATATGAAAATACAAACCCTACAACAAGTTTGGGAATTTTGCGTAATGAATTCACAATGGTGTTCAAGTAAATCCATTTCACTCATCATCATGTTTCAACTTTTATGTCTTATGTCAGTATATGTATGAACTCCCTTAATGCATTTATAAAATTAAACCCTAGGTGTTAACATTGTGTATGTTATACTATGAAAAATATAACATACTATTTCTAATTTTCCTTGGTAAAGTGACACATTACTATGTACTTACGGGTTTATAAACTACACAAGGTATAGATCATATTCAGTCAACAAGAACAGGTTTATGAGGAGAACATATCATCACAGTTGTTTCCGTGAGGCGTGTAAACCGTTGATATCACTTACTGCATTTTTAAGCATCACTTACATATATATAATTCTTCACTTCTCATATATATGTGTATACTGAGAAAGACATTACATGCATGCACACATACACAGGAAACCAGACGTCTTGTACATGCAATTCAAATGAAACTAAACTTTCATGACATAACTTTACTTGAGAATATCGATCACTATACAATACAACAATTAATTAATATGCTTTTGTATAAGAACACGGTTTGTCTCGAAAAGAAAGAGTGAATAAAGAGGAACAGGACCGGCCATAGGTAAGATATATATGTGCTTCAAATCAAAATAATGCACAATTGATAGACAAAAACTGATCTTTCTTAGAAATCAATTCACCACAGAAAAATTAACTAGAATGAATTCGAACTTAATTAAAATTTTGAAATTGAATATCAAAATGCACATCAAATCGATTCTGTTCCAAGAACAGAAAGCCCCGAAATTATTTCTCCGGACATCCCTAACTATATTTTAGGTTATTGCAGAGAAGATCCAATTTTCGTTCTAAATTGAGTCATTTTCATTACACATTCGCTGATTTTAAATTCTGAGGGCGAAAAAAAAAAAAGGGTATAGAGAGAGAAACCTCTGCTTGAGAACTCCACGGAAGCCAGGGAGATGAGAGATGTAACAGACAATCCCAACATCGGCTTCTTCGACAGAAGGCATTTTCCTCTGTGAACAGAGCAAGAGTGTTACGAGGCGGAGTGTTTGGACTTTGAAATAGGGTTTAAGTACGTCGGGCAGAAAACGCATTTAGAGACGACGAGTCCCTGTGGTGTTTTCCAAATTCATCTTTTAGAGATGTCAAACAGTAGGGCCGGTTCACGACCCGGCCCGGTCTGCCGTGTCGGCTCGGAACAGGACCGGCTATATTTAAGGGCCAGTTCAATTTAATTGGTTTGACCCGACGGTTTTTTTGATAAAAAAACAATAATAAAAACAACTACGACATGCCTTTTGATCAGGAATCGACCCGAAATTAACTAGACAAACAATAAAAATGAGACCCAAAATCGGCCCGGTTTTATCACGGGTCCAGTTACAAGGCCCGTAAGTCAGGGCCGGGTCGGACCTTGGACACAGACTCAACTAATTTAAGCAATGAAAAAAAATTGGTCATGCCATTAAAATCAGGTAGGTACTTAAAAAAATTGTCTAATGTGCTAAAATAAAAAATAAAATATGAATTAAAATAAATAGCTTGAAGAAATTATTTTTGCTATAAATTTACTTTTTACAATATTTTAACTTATTTAACATATTAATACTATTAATATTGACTAGTTGTAAATCTATATATATATAATTACTAGTCAATAGCATTTAATAAAACATAATTAATTTTACCTATATGACAATTTAATACTTTTCCCTCCAAAAACCGTTACTTTTTTTTATGTATTTAGTCTTTCATTTAATTATTAAATAATCAATACTAATCACTTCAAAATTACAAAAATCATTTTAAGCTTTTTATTAGTGACAACTGACCATATAATGTGTTGATCGTACAATGTGATTAGATGTTATTATTGTGTTTACATTTTTTTTAAAATGATAAATAATTAAAAAAAAAGACGTACTAAAATATACATTACATCCAATTAGATAAACGCATTTTTTTTAAGAAAGTAAATATTCCAACTCTTTTTCTTGTAAATTTGGCATGCAAAAAAGTGAAAGAAAAATAATTAATCATTATATGCATACAAATAACTCACAATATTTTATTTACATCTGTGCAAATGCACAGAGTCCAATACTAGTTCACACTAAAAGTTTACATAAATACGCATTT